TATCTTCTGCCCCAAAGTCGTCTCTGAAATTTAAGTAAGAATCGCATTCTATATTACTTACCTAATGGTTTTTTTAATCCTCCAAATCCTCAAATCCTTCTACTTCTCAACAAGTTTTCCTTCTCGTTCAATTGAAAACGATCACATTACAGCTCTCACCACATTAACCCTAATTTGCATTTCGATCGCATTTTAAAGCAAATATCCATTTATGGTGCTCTTCTCAGGGTCTTAGCACCAATCGAGGGAGACACATTTGGTGCTAAATCTTTTCTTTTAATGATCCCCACTTTCTCCTCTTAACACTTATTGGTAAGAGGTTTGAGTCTGAAATTCGGATTAAGGGTTTATGACTCTCATTTGTTAAGGGCATTGTTGATCACATCACATAAAAATGTTTCCTACTGTGAACAATAGAAGAAGTTGTTGTGTCAATATGGGATGAGTTATCATTTCAAATTGATTCAACTCATTTGGAATCTGCTTCACTGAACTTATGAGGTTTACGTTATTCCATCGATGGTAATTTGCCAACGTTGCAAAGGCCCGTTGTTCTTTATAGTAAAAATATTAACCACAGCTAAACCTTTTCATTTTCACTGATTCCATTATTGATATCTTCGTCATTTTGATGAAATAAAATGCCCTCAAGTTGTGGTCTTTTGGACGAACGCAAGTCCAAAACGAGTAAAGTGGGATAGGCAACGCTTGCATGCATCTTACCCACTCTAGTAATTATTAGATGCAGAGAAGACGAAAAAATGTTATCAGTGAACAAACAGAGGAAGGCATTATTGCATCGCAATAGATTTGAAATTATGGGTGATTAGATGAGAAGAGTTGTATAATGTAAAGCAGTGTTAAAAAGTTTAAAATCGAAGGTACTTAAAGAAGATAATATGAATTTATGCTAAAGCCGGAGCACTTGCAAGTAGAAGTATTAGTCTCACTCTTCCCCAATCTCCCTCTCTCCTTCTTTCTCCCTGTTAAGTGCGTCCTTTTGTTGTGTTTTACTTCTCTTTAAAAGGAAACGGTGTTTCGCATGTGTATATTAAATAACGCATCGACGATATCATGATATGAACACAATGATTTGTTCCATTGTGGACAACGTGTGAAATTATTGTTAACATACCAGTATCTCATCAAAAACAACGCTTCCAAGTGGTAGTATTCATAAGAAATGTCGTTTGTTGAGACTTTCTTGCCTGGGAAATGGTAAGTTACATGCTAGCATTCTATTAAGCCAATAATCAATCCACCTCATCATTGATAATAACCCACAATCCGCTTTAATACTGATTAATGGTAAGACGGTTAGCAGACATCAATGAGCTCACAAACCCATAATTAAGTATTAATTGAGCAAGTCGCGAATGCATATTCTTTCCATTTTATTTACAAAACAGGCATTTCAAGTGAATGAGTGTATGTTAGTGCAGAGTATATGAAAAGTGAAAATGTTTAGATGACACCAACTGATGATCGACGCTTTTTCGCACTAATATCAGTGGAGGCATTCGAAACCGGTTCCAGGGGATTAACTGGTGTCATGGAAGATGATTGAATCCCAACATCAGGAAGACGAGATTTTCGAGAAGTAGAAGGTGGTCGATTCCTACGTTTTGATGGTGATCGACGATGACGACAACTGCGATGACTGCTTCGATAGGACTTCTTTCCCCTCCTTTTCCTCCTTCTCCGCCTCCACTTCCGTTTAAATTCCAAATTGCTGCTTTTCGTCTCGAACGTGATGAGGATTCTGGGACATTCAAAGACTGCCTGGGAGGGATGGCTGAGACCGGACTACGAGCACGAGAACACTCGCGACGCCTTTTTCTTGATCCATGTTGACGAAAAGAACGACCTCTGTGACCACCGTATTCTCGACCAGGATCTACTTCATATCTGTTTATAAATGAAAAAGTTGGTCTTCAACTCTAAC